TAAAATTTTAGCTGCTGATCACGTTTCAACGCCTTCGTTCACGAGAATACGAGAATGGTATAACAAATGTCCGATTTATACATTTTCTCGGCCCCCGGACCCGCCAATTGGAATCTAATATTGTAATATTCGACGCTTATTGGTAAACAAAAGAATCGCGAATTCCTATATAAAGCGAAAACAGAGTATCTTTCCCGGCAGTAGAAAAGTTCATTCCAAGCGTTACCTTAAACTGGGTGTATGAATTATATAATAATATTATGGACATAAGAAAATGCTGAAATCTCTTAAAGTATAATTCAACTTGTTAACATCTGATATATTAACGATGGATCATTCCAAAATTTACCGGCATATTCGATTTTGGTAGAAATCGGCAAGTGATTCCAAATTTTTGGCCCGTAGTGTACATAGCACAGTAGAACGGTGATTAGATACAATTTCCGAGCAATTCAGTCGCATCGAGATATTTGTGAACTTGGTCAAATTTCGCGTTGCCAATGAAACAGTCGTAAATCAGACTGACGAATAATGTAGAGAAAACGGTGATATTCTCAGCTTTATTAAATATGCCAGATTCTCGCTCGAGAAATCTCTTCATCGACGACACTCTCGAAAGAATTAGCGGTTTCAAAGAAGATGTTCTAAGGTTGATCGAAAGACGACCGATCGAAATCGCCACGATCCTCACGGTTTGCAGTGTCCTCTATTGGATTCGACGATATACTCCTATATAAATCAAACGTAAAGATTCAACGAATTTACGAAACAAAATCACCTCATTATCGCGCATAAAAGCTTTTCCCCGCTTTTGTAATTTATCATTATCCAGTTCTCTATAATAGTAATCTCGATGACTGTTTGCCTTGTTACAATCCCTTTTTCCTTTTTTTTCAGCTTTCCCTGGACGCTCGGCTCCTCCCTTTTTCCAACTTCCTTCTCTCGTGGCTCGTGACACTTTTCAAGCACACAGTTCCATCGTTTCAACGCGAAATCTTTAAAGAGTACGCTCTGCTCCAAGCTGAATCCTGTTTTCGGTGCGAATTCAAATAATCGAAGCAAGTTGAACGAATTAGCTCCAACCGAAAGCATGCAATCACGCAATTCTATACAAAATATGTATACGAAGTACGTACATAAGTATATACGTACATGTGGATATTACATTGGCTGACTTTTCTGCAATCACCGAAAGGGAGCGCAAAACGTGAGAACAGTAGGTATGTACATACATACGTACTACGTATTTCCTTCCACTGGTTTTTTTCCGTCTTCTTGAACGCGACCAACTTCGAAAATCGTTAAACTAATCAGAAAGGCATTATTATGCTTGTTTTGGTAAAATTTTCTGTAATACTCGATGTGGCTGCGATAGCGGCGCCGAATAAACGAAAAAACTAACGATTCCGCTATGTAATGACAAGCTCGCCGTGTCGTAAGAATCCGATTATCGATACTCTAAAAGGTCATTGGAAATTAAAATTTTTTCAGGACTTTCCGAAGTCCAATTAGCAAGTTCGTATTAAAGGGAATTATTAGTACATTCGTTACATGGAATAATAATATCGGACAGGTATCGAAATTGCTTTATCAAAACATATCCGTTCTCCGCAAGGAAATATCAGGTAGCATTGCGAGATGCATGCGACCGTCTAACTAAATGGAATCGAATCAACCGCCAGTGCTTTAACCTTCCTGTACCTGATATCTGATCGACCTAGTATTTTTACAACGTGCTAGTATTTACGTTTTCCATTCAAGCGAACGTACCGATTCTTCGGGACAATAGCGTTATGTTCATCCACGGAAATGTTCAAAAGATACTGCGTTATTTTTCAAAATGCCCATATATTTTTCTTTTTCCTCCTCTTCTATAAATTTTTTCGACTTTTTCTTCGTGCACAAACGTTCACAAACGGCAATCCCCGCCTCCAAAGAAAAAGAATTAGAGTACCTACTGCTTTCGTTCTTCACCCGTTTAGAATCGGACAGATACATTTGTGTATTTGTCATTTTTAAAGGCGCGTAAAGTTGAAGTTAAAGTTAGAAGTAGAGGTTGAGGTGGATGATGAGGCAGAGGTAGAGGTAAAGGTAAAGGTAAAGGTAAAGGTCATCCTTGGCTTTCTCGTGACGAAGAATGTTAAAACGTAAAAGATTGATTACCGGATAAGGAAGAGAAGGAGGAGAAGGAGGAGGAGGAGGAGGAGGAGAAGCAGGAGGAGAAAAAGAGTAACGATTCGAAACCGTTTCGGACTGGTTTTTGCGTGTTTCCCCATCTTTTCCCATCTTCTCCCTACACACCTCTCCAACATGATCCTCTTCCCCAGCCCCCTCCATCTCATCCGATCGAGCTCCGTCCCCATTCAACCTCGATGCGCAGCTGTAAATTGCAACGCAGCTCACCGTGCAGTGATCGTAGCTATTTTTATTTCACCTTCGTTGAAAAAAAATCATCTCAATATATACCTAGCTAGTTTTATTCAAAATATCATACTCGACTATACGTATGTACTTACACGTACATGATTCGAATTCTATTTGAATCGTTTATCTTCAATGTACAAGATTCTCAGTTTTTTCGCGATTGTGAAATCAAGTCGGTTAAAGTGCTTAGCTAGTTTACCGAGACCGATAAACCTGCGCAACTCTAACAACCAGAACGTGAATTAACACTTTTATCCTTGTCGTTAGCCAATTGTGTTTTAGAAGAAAGTTTGCTGGATATGCGAATCATCGATTTTAAGAGAAACTACATATGTACTTGCGTATATGAAGTACGGAGAAGGCTCGTTCGTAACACGATTACACGAGTGACCGACCAAGCAACCTGTGAAGAAAAGCTAACTTACCACACACACACAGAATCTATACGACACCACCTGAAGCAACCCCGGTGTACTCCCTTATCTCCCCGCCACCCGAATACCTGCCAATCTATCCTTTTCCTCTGCTTCTCCCCCTCCTCCTCCTGCTATCGGTCTCTTTATCGAGTCGGGAAATCCTCGCTTCGTTTACTTCACGTCAGCCAACAAGCAGCTGATGACCTCGATGGTTCGCGATACTCTTTTACCGATTAATGTTCACGTCTCCACCAATTTTACCATTATCCGTAGATCTCACGCACCAAACAAACATTATACGTAATGGAAGCAACTTTCGCGCGGTAATTGCGTATCGAGCATGTACCGAACATTTGCGAAATATATCATATGTACCTAAGTACGTAGAACGAGCAACTTGTTCCCTTTTAAAAAGACTGGTTGCGAAACTCTTTGCTCGCAAAGGATCATCCTGTTGTAAGCATAAAGAAACGCGGAGGCAGAAACTGTTGCGGTAACAAGTTAAACGAAATGAAACTGTAAATTTCAAACACGTAGAAACGATGACAGAAGATAGAGTACACGAGAGCAACGAGGTGCTACGAGGCACGATGTCCAGAGGCGTTTTAATCAAGCTATACGATCGACGCGGTTTACCGCATCGTTTACTTACTTGCTCAAGCGATACCCGTGACAGTGGCTACTACCACGATGAGACGCGACGTGCTGCTCAATGAGAATTCCCGATTCATTCGCGCATCTACTCCAACACTCTTCGTCGCCACCACTTCGAACGTCGCGTTAAACCTTTACCACCACTCAATGAATCACGCTCAAACTACCGAGCATTCACACGCCTATCGAAATTCACATTCATGAGAGTGTCGTGAAAAAAAGAACGCTCACGAATCGATTCTTTTCACTGTCGATCTTAATCTAGGCCGCACCGCCTACATTAAATCCCATTTCACTCGTGACACATAGGATGTAGATCACATTGTCAGTTAGCTAACTGACAGATTTTCTTTCTCTCACGAACTTCACTCTTTTTCACCCCCAGAATTTTACGTTTTTTCTAACAGAAACTGAAAAAAGTAATAAACTGCAGTAGATATACCTTTCTCTGTTGCAGAATGATCACTCGCTCGATGCTTTTGCTGATGGTTTCGATCACGTTTCTATTCACCCAACAGTCTCTCCAAGTGTCAGGCAATGTTCTCCCCGACAAACGTGTCTCTATGGGATTTCAAGGAATGCGTGGGAAAAAAAGTGTCATCTCTACGGACCACGAAGAACTTTCGAAACGAGCACCCATGGGTTTCCAGGTATAACTTATGTATATCCTTATTTCCTCTCGAATAGTGCCTACTTTTTCAAGCGAACAAATGCAATATACACGATGATGCGTAAATTCTGCATATAGGGTATGCGTGGGAAAAAAATCCCAGCGTTCGTTCCTGTCGAAAACGAATTCCTTACGGAGGATACCAACAAGCGTACACCAATGGGATTTCAAGGTATGAGAGGGAAAAAGAACAATTTAGCAAACGACTTTCAAGATACTTACTTGCTCGAGGACTACGAGAAAAGAGCACCGATGGGTTTTCAAGGTATGAGAGGGAAGAAGACATCGATAGAGGATGAATATTACAAGCGTGCCCCGATGGGATTTCAAGGAATGAGAGGGAAAAAATCCCTCGAACAGGTAAACGAATTCGTAAATGACGTGACGATGACGTCGACGACTACGCGTGTTTATTAAAACGAAAAGAAATTGTTTCTCATGACGCGACTTAACATGTATTTCGATTTTTTTCATTTGTATCTACGTACGTACTCCTATAGATATTGAATGAACTTAAAAAGAGGAGTACAATGGGATTATTCCAAGATTTAAGGGGCATGGAAACATATCAGGACGATTATCCGGAAGATTACGAAAAGAAAATGCTCTCGATGGATGAATATCGAAATATTCGTGATAAGGAGGAATTTCTGAGGGAGTGGGAGAAAAGAGCTCCAATGGGATTCCAAGGGACGAGAGGCAAGAAAATGATTCTTGACGCACTCGGAGATCTCGATATTCATGTAAGCCCCAACTTATCTCGCAATCGATGCAAATTTTCTAAATGATGCGTAAAACAAATGTCGCAGGGGGTGCAAGGTAATCAAGATACGTTCGACAATTACCTAGATTATTCGATCAATCCGTTCGGCGGTGATTACAAAAAAAGCGATATGGATTTTCAAGATATCGAAGGTGGTAGCGAATTGTTGAAAGGGGCTCGAATGGGCTTTCACGGGATGAGAGATAAGCGGGACGCAACAAAAATTTATGGGCCTAATTCGAGCATTGCAAGAACGACGATGGGTTATCAAGGTAGGTAAATACGTGTGTAACGATCCAACGAAATAACAATTATGTCTTTCGTTATTTTAAACAGATAATCTAATGAGTAATCGAAGAAACGATTTGGCCGCGTACGAAATTGAAAAACGATCGCCCCTCAGATATCTTGGTGTTAGAGGTAAAAAGAATCCACGATGGGAATTCCGTGGTAAATTTGTAGGGGTCAGGGGTAAAAAATCGTCGACTTTGCAAACTATTGGACAAGGACAAGCCGTCTTTTAATGCATTCCTCTGTGACATTCAAAGGATACGTACGAATTAAGAGATTCGTGAATGTTATTATTAGGTAATTCGATTACTCCAAAACTTTACCCAGAGTTTGTCTGTTCCTTTGTGGTGCGCAACAAGGTCGTGAACAATAGTAATATTGCTGCTCTTACTACTACTACCACTAATAACAATAGTAATAATAATAACAACAACAACAACGATGTGAATAATTTTTTTCATTTCAGGTACTTAGTGGGAATACTGCTGCTCCTGTTGGTGACAAGAATAGCGACAACAACAAATAATCACTGTGTAAAACTAGTCTTCTCGTTTAAACGTGTATTATATACTGTGGCGATCGATAAATATCAGAGTAGAAAATGATGACGCGCGTCTTTTTCTATCGATGGATTAGATGGATTATCCTTGATGTCATCATATTGTCCCATGTATACATTGCCAAAATGTATGTTGAGTTCTGAAGCTAAAATTTCATTTTCCATTGCATTGTACATCTGTGAAAGGCACATTATTTACTATATATATATACCGGGTGTATCTAGTAACTGGGACAGGTTATATATAACTCGGTTCCAAGTGAAATTAAAGAAAAATTGAAGAGGAAAGGTTTGCAATTTAACGCTCTGCAGTTGCAAAGTGCATTTACACTTTTCCTTTTAAATGGAATTCTATAATTCTTTTTCTTTTTTTTGCATAAATCAATTTCTCGTGTCATTTTACGTGTAAAAGGTATGAGGAAAGTTCATTGAAAACTCCATACTTTTCGAGATATTTTACTTTCCTTGAAAATTCGCAATAAATATTCAAACATTTTACCGCTACATTCTAAACATTTTCTTCTCCTTCCCTTAATATTTTTCATTACATTATTTAATTGTTCAGCACTGATACTTAAACAATTATTCGTGATTCTTTCCTTTAATTCATCCACAGAAGCTAAAAGTTACAAATAAATTATTGCTATTTTTATAGGTGAGTTAAAGGAGAGAATCACGAAAAATTGTTTAAGTATCAGTGCTGAACAATTAAATAATGTAATGAAAAACATTAAGAAAAGGATAAGAAAATGTTTAGAATGTAGCGGTAAAACGTTCGAATATTTATTGTGAATTTTTAAAGAAAGCAAAATATCTCGAAAAGTATGGAGTTTTCAATGAACTCTCCTCATACTTTTTATACGTAAAATGACACGGGAAATCGATTTATGTAAAAAAAAAAGTAATTATAGAATTCCATTTAAAAGGAAAAGTGTAATTGCATTTTGCAACTACACCGGTGCATATGCGAAAAAAACTAGTACGGTAGTATGATACAGCATGTTGAACAGTGCAAAATTTTCCTCTACGAGTTTTCTCTATCTTCACTTAGAACAGAGTTATAGCCTATCCCAGTTACCAGATACACCCAGTATATTGGTAATTCTTTAATAGTTTGGAATGTCTTTTTCTTTTTTTTTCTCTTCCTTTTTTCTTTGACAATTGATCAACACAGGCAATTTGAAACGAGCGAACAATACAGATGTGGAACAGCTAAATCAAAACCGAGATTAGATGAGAGTTCTATTTTTCTCTGAAAGTTAAGTCGTCGATATGTATGTATGTACAAAGAAATCTTGCAATTAGTTATCATCATACGTTAATCGTCTAATACCAACCTCGTCGCCTCACAAATGGAATTTTTAAGTAAAAGTAGAGAAAGAAAGGAGAAGAAAAAAAATGGAATTCAATAAGCAATTTCATTGGCACATTTCCTTCGATGGATCGCAACAAACGCAAAGTAAATGAATTTGAAGAAAGAAAAGAAAACCAGGATATTTTTGACAAATTCTTACAAAAACCAAAATCGACGTGTACATAATCTTATTACCTCTAAATCTGTATGTTCGAATTTTTTCGTTTACACTCGACCTTATTTTTACATTTTGAAACGTGTAATACCGTGATTGATGGATCAAATATTCGAACTTTGCATTATTTCATCGTTGTTGAATGACGAAAGTGGAAGAGAATGCATAAGGCATACAGAAACATATGTGAAATCTAAGGGATTTAACACGTATATGTCACTTACTATTCACTAGATAAAATGTATGTCTATGTACCTACATCTAAACAAATACATATCAATGAAAGCAATTGATTCTGTTAATCGATCACACCAGTACCTCTACTTTCTTCTTGTTTCAGACAAAGTAGTCCACAACTGAATGTATGTTTGTGTTTATATATATTAACATTATTACCATTTTTGAAGTTTATTACCTAACACGTTATATGACTTACATAGAATTCATATTAGTTAAAGTATGCGATAAATTGGATTTTCTCCTTTACTTCATTCTGGTGAAAGGCTAATCGACAAAGTTTCAAGCAAATGTAATTTATCTACATAAAGATGCTTAGAGTAAAGAATTGAAACATATAACAAACTAATCTTTATTACACAGTACTTTTGTTTCTTCCCTTTTGAAACCAATAAAATGTAAAAGAGTAACAGCAGAGTATGCGAAATTTCATTATTTTATATATGTCATAGAATGAGAACGGAGGACATTAAGGAACTACATATTTATGTATGTACATATAGTAATAAACTAAATTTCAAAGTATTGGAGGTTAGGAAATTTAGATAGAAAATGTTATACTACCTATCATGTCAAAATGGCATACAGTTATTATCCATGGTGATGTTAAAAGACATTGTAACATGTTCTGTTCCAAGTTTATTTTATTAAAGTAAAGTCATAGAAAATGTCTGAACCTAAAATTAAACGACATATATATGAATGTAAGTACTATGCATCAAAACAAAACGCTACACGTTACGTTTCCGTAAAGTTGGCCACCTTGCAATGTTATTGTACGCAACACAGCGGTCGAAACTTCCTAACCTGTACACGTGGACCTGTCAACATATTTTTTAACTATCATTTCTACTCTCCGCAGGTATGTAATATTTTTAATAAAAGCAAAGAAACATTGAACAAACGTATTTAATATTTTCTTTAGTATGTACATCAGATTTCGAACAGCATGAAGTAAATGCTTATGTACGCACGTATGAACGTACCTATTTATCTACCTACGTAAAAAACACGTGTACAATGCATAAAGGAAATTCATTCAACCAAGTATTTATTTAGACATGCTATTAATTAATCGACATTTATATCGCCCGATATTTTCCATTAGAAATATTCAATACAGAACCAATTTTTACTCACGCTGCCACTTACTCTCAGGATTAAATCGGTTAAATTTGTTTGAAAAATAGGAACTGTCTGACAAGTATTATCGTAAAAGATAAGAAAAATTGAATATTTCAAACTGTTGAAAAAAAAAGAAACGAAAAAGAAACACGAAAAAAAGGTGAAATGTTCGATGAATTTGCCTGATTGAAAGTGGTTTAATTAAATATCGATTTGATAAAAGATCGGTGTAATAATTGGTTTTTGTTTACTTATGGGAAGAAAGGCTTTTCACCTTTTGCCGAGTAAGCAGGCACCGCCAAATATTTATTTCCGTATCGAAAGGTGTAAGTGTTCAGACTTCTCTTCCCACCCCATGGATCGAAGTATTGTTTGTCTTGCTTGCTTCTCTTGTCAACCACCGATGTTAACCTACGATAACGCAAATGATTAGATAAAAAGTTTTCTTCAAATAAATCCGAAAGAGAAAATAAAAGAACTTCAAGTATGGACCACCAGTCATTATCGTTGGTAATCTCTTCCATTATCGTGTAATCATCCTTGCCCGTGTCATTATATAATGATGTGTGGTAAAAGGAAATTGGATAGGGGAAGGTGTCGGCGCGTTTTCCATTCCAGTTCCATCCATCCATAGCAGATATCTCATTTTTCGTTTGAATCACATGCTTATCGCCACCAGTGTTTCTTCCTTTGCCAGTCGAACCGACCTCGTCGTCGTCATTGTCGTCTTGAAAGCAAGCGTTAACGTTCAAATTGCCAATTTCACCGCGATCTCCCACTCTATGATGCCTCCAGTACAACTGACCTTTTGTTATATCCAAAACACTGTCTTTAGGATTCTCCAATAGTAGTAGAAATTGCTTTCGACCGGCCGACCTGTCCGCTCTCTTTCCACCCCAACTGTTCCATCTGATTTTCCCCATTTCAGCCACCCTCTTAACACCGTTAAATACATCAACGGATGTATCTTGATCAGATCGATCGTACGTAACTTTGTTTCGTTTCGCTTGCAAATCGACATTTCCTTCTGTTCGTTTACCACCCCAACTGTTGAATGGCACGCGTATCGGTCTACGAATATTAGAAAAGCTAGGTCTATGGAGGCTTAGTCTCTTGTCAGCCCACCAGTAAAGCCAAGGATTCGTCCTCCCTTGAGAAGCTATCGGAAATCCCTTTCGAAAACCATCGCTAATCGTTAATCGATCATCTAGTTGCTTATTGGAATAATGACGATTCGGATAATGACCAGAGAAAGTTTCGCGTGATACGTAACATCCACTCACCTTGTCTTGCCTAGGCAAATCAAGCCACGAATCTACTGTTTCTCTTCTCTTCTCTTCGAGTTTCATCTGGCTCGAATCTGCTGCTCGATGATGACGAAAATAAAGGATTGAAAATATCTTTTTTGCAAAGAATAGTCGAGGAAGAGAGGAAGAGGGGTTCTCACCTGATACAGCGACACTTGGATCACTGTTCTCTTTACTTCTCTTCTTCCCTGTCAACGATTCGCCCTTCCATATTTTCGATATATCTATTAAAAATTGTCGAGTACGATTATCGATGGTTATCATGTGGTTATTTCCATTCTCATGCATTGTAATGTCCGACGAAGTGCCATCGTCAATTTCGGGATTTGCTACGATTGCACGTATTAAAAGAGAAACCATTGAAAGGAACAGCAACATTTCTGAAACGAATCGTCTTGTAAGAAATACAAAGTAATTAATGGAAAGCAATCGTGCGAATGAAATAATCGGTTCGCCGTACAGATACGATACATTCTTATTAACACCTAACGCAACACACCTTCTTCGGTAGACATTCTGAAAATACATACATATGTACGTATCAACATAAAAGAGGGGGCGCGTCGTAAACCGTGTGCATGTACGATATTAAATATTCTTCTCATTTAATATACTTGCTAACATCATGTAGTTACTGAGCAAAGGATAACACGCAAAATAATGAAAACGCGGTAATACCTGAAAAAACGACGCGTCCATTTTCACATGGTTTATGTGCAAGAAAACAGTACAATGAGAAGTAATAAGATACTAATACCGATAATTTATCAAATGGTATAGAATAAATAAAATAAATAAGATGGCTACTGTAGAA